TACTTGAGAAATATTAGCTATAATGCTTCACATATCGTCTGAACAAGCTGCTGAGAAAACCATTATTGTATTGGATTTTACAATTTTACACACCATCGCTTTATCACCCAACTCACTGTTTTTGACACAAAATTATTTCAACCATGATAAATGAAGTGCATTGAAAACCTTTCATTGTCAACTAATTAAATTCTGTTTTTTCTTGTTTAAAAAAAAACTACATGTGAAGATTCGTAATTGGCCTACAATGTTATATATATATAAGGGAATCAATCGTGAGTGAATAATTTGTAAATATATATTTTTTATTTAATGTTGTTTTATAATGGAATCAATCGCTTATACTGGGAATAAATAATAGCCTATATTCTAGGTTTTATAAAGTAAAATAATATAATGAAAAAATTAAAACATCTTACATATATTATGTCAAGTGACAAATTAAACATCGACGATCAGACGGCAAAGAAGAAAAATAAAATATAAAAAGAGTTTGTATAGGAAAATATGTTATGTTTTCCTTACATATATAAATCTTTTGTGCTGTGAAAATTCTGAAAAAATAAATAAACTCCAAGTGATTTGATTTTCCGTTTGTTTTATTTTTGACAGCTCATTTCCTATTGGTACTGACGGGATTTAAATACTTCTAGGATGCTTAAAAAACAAAAGAAAATCCTTCAAAGAGAGCACTCTTTTATAGGTCAGAAATTCGTTTCACTATACAAAGATCGTATAAGACAGAGTTTAGTAAGACAGGTGCACCTAAGAATCTTATTACGCAGCTTAAAAAGAATGCTGGCTATTCTGACAACAAAGACACAATTGTTAAGATTTGAGAAATATAATAGCGACTTATGTGATTCTTAGAAGCCACAACGCCGCATTATGCCTTTACCGCAAGAGTTTTCACTCCATTTCCATGTGAACGACATGTAATGTTAAACTAATAGAGGGCTTACGAATTTTCGCTGAGTCTAAATCCGTGTTTAAGATACTTTTATGCTAATTATATGTTTAATTAAATATTTTAATGTAATGTAGTATCACAATACAGCGAGGAAATGCTGCCGGCGTTAAAGGTACACAGGAACCAAACTTTTTAAACTTGTTTTAATTTTCTTTTTAATTATTTTAATTATTACTTTGTAGGTTAATATAATTGTAAATACAAATTATGCGTTTATAAAAAATAATTTTATGAATAAATTTCGTTTTTAACGTAGTATCGATACTGATTAGTTTTTTTTTAATTTTGTAGTCATATTTGTAGCCAATAGTTATGACTATGGTCAATGCTCTCTGGTACATTCGCAATAACAACCTCCATCGGGACCTCAATATATGAATTAGTGTTAGTGCACGTTAGTATAAGTGCTAAAGAGTGAGTGAAAAAATACAACACAACAACGGTCTTCCCCTTAATACAGACTATAGGCCACTTTCTAATGTTATATATCCTTATTAGTAAATTAGGTTAGACTTAAATTACTTATTAGTCTTAGGTTAGGATAGATCGTAATGTTCCATGATGTCTTAGTAAAGACACATGTTTGTACCACATTCTTGCAATAAATTATTATTATTATAAAAATTTATACATTTAAAAATATTTTAATATTATTTGAGATTCTTAACATTTTGTTGACTATTTTCATTGCCCTTGTGGCTTAGGTAATCACATACAGTTTCAACTGGATAGCATTAGTTCGATTTGATGAATAATATGGGTTTCAACGCATTATGTACTCGCCTGTACAGAAAAGTTATTAGTAAAAAGCTTCCTTAACTATATATATATACGTCAAATGAATAATTTATTTAGTCAAAACTGTTTTAGCTATTGAAGCAACTAGCTAAGTTATAAAAAGAGGTGAGTTATAAAAGGAGTATAGAAATTATTATTATAATAATAATAAAAAAATTGTACCAACACCTACAATCAGCGCTTACAAATCACACCGATGTCGTTATACCCTGAAACGCGCAAACGAAGTTATTCCGGATATATAGTATTCTCGACTTTAGCTGTGCAAACTGTGCACACCATTAAAAAAACAGCCAACCACTTCGGCCATTTAGTGGTTTAACTGGTAGAGGTTCCTCCCATTAGATTGGGGTAACAGTACACTATCCTTTCTCCGCATATTTTTAATAATTCAAAGAATCTTTAGTCAACTAGCTACATAAATGTTTTTAATTATTTAGATATTAAAATTTACACTGAAACGGACACACATATGTCCGTCTAGTGTCGTTTGGGGTAGTGCGAGTACAATATAATTAAAATATATTTAAATGTATAAATTTGGTGGATTGTACATTTGTTCATAGTTCGCATATGTACAAATTTGTCTTAAAAGGTAGAATAGAAGTTACAATTACATTATTTTTCTACTATATCATCACATTTTTAAAATATATTATAACGTTATCAGGTTAATATTAATTATAATGTTTCACGTAAATAATCATTAATACATTTTTTAAAGCAAGGTTGCCGTATTGGTATAATCTAGAATTTTGATTCATTTCACCGAAATCGAACTTCCTTAACCGTTAACCACACAGCACAGAGGCTTTCAAAGTCTAACTTTAAATCCCAAAAGCCTACAACGCTTGTAAATAATATCTTAATACGTAAGTTGCATGTTTAAGAACTCGTCTAGAAATAAGATTAATGAAGTGTAGGAACACTTAACCCGTGTCAACCTGTCAAAAGCACGTCATATTTATTTTTTGCGTATTTTAGCGTCAGCTCCGATAAGCGTAACTTGATCTTGATAACGGATTCCCAAATACTATTTGGGCGTCGCTTCTAGCCAAAAAAGGTGTAATAATAAAAAAAAGGCTTAGAGCAGTGTTGGTCTAGAGACTTCAGCGTGCGACTCTCATTCCTGAGGTCGCAGGTTCGAACCCCGGCTGTGCACCAATGGACTTTCTTTCTATGTGAGCATTTAACATCGAATTCGAACGGTGAAGGAAAACATCGTGAGGAAACCGGCTTGCTTTATACCCAAAAAGTCAACGGCGTGCGTCAGGCACTGAAGGCTGATCACCTACTTGCCTATTAGATTACCAAATGATCATGAAACATACATAAATCTGAGGCCCAGATCTCGGTTAATTTACAGAGAAAGGTTGTAGCGCCATTGATTTATTTTATTTTAATAAAAGCCTTGAATTTCAGATACTTTACAATTAAATTTATATTTTTATGTTTTTGCATCTCATTCTTTTTAGATATCTGTGAGCCCTTTTTTGGCAAAGGCCTCATCCAAATCCCGTCATTCCTGTCTGGAATTCCACTTCTGGACCAGTGCAGACAGGATCACGTGCTGTTTCTTTAATCTGATCCACCTTCTAAATTTTCTTTTGCGATTATTGTACTTTTGGCACCAGTTCAATACTTCCTTGCTCCACTTTTCTGATCCTCTTACCATGCCATGCTCACTTAAATTTATTTATTTTTATTGTGACATTATGCAACCTTAGTTATTCTTTATTTTATCTATTCTTTTCTTATCTATCATACATCAACAGAGGTGTAAACATAATACTAATTCGTGAGCCGGTTACATGGAAACATATTGTATATTTTGATAGGGTGTTCTGATGCGTTAGTGTCAGACCGCCCCGCGCCCGGCTCCGATTTCGCAGAAGTGTCTCGCTTAACGCTTGATACAGAAGGTTCGTTAAAAAGAATGCATCATGCGGGGTATTATATTCACGACAACCTTTTTTTCGTTGTTCGATGTTTTGACTTTATCGCGTCAGTAATACGGGTAGCTGTTCCGAGCTAATTTGGTATCTTGATTTGAGTTAAGATGAATGCAATAATACCACTTGCGCATTGATTGACATCAGCGCATACGTTCAAAGAGCTGTGATTGAACAAAAAGTCTTCTAAGGAAGGCAAAAAAATTACCAAAAATTGCAGCCCGTTTGACGCAAAGTATGCCTTGCACCACAACTACCTGCTATTTTGTGAATTGTAACATCTTAGCGCAGGGGTGGCACTTTCCTGCTTTTTATGTATAACATTTAATTCAACGTTAGAAATCAAATAGTTAAACGTAGAATTGGAAACTGGGTATGATAAATATTAATTAATTTAATTTAAATTAGACTTTTTTAATGTTTAATTTTACGCTCATCATAATTAGAATTTAATTGGGTTGTTGTGAGCGCAGTGTTAGCCAAGTGACTTGAGCGTTGCTTAGACTGCGTATGACAGACACACCTGGCTAATCAACCTTCTTGTCTATTAAAAAAAAAAATAATTTAAGACATTTATTACTTTTACGATGACATACGACTACGACACAAAAAAAAATATGCTCATTTTGGCGCGTTAGGGAAAAATGATGAGAGTAAATTTTTACTTTGAGCGCACACACCGTCACAAAAACCCGACACCCTCAAGTTAGCTATAGTCAACATTTTAGTGTTTTATAGTGTGTGTCGTTTTTTCTACAAACATAGAATAAAATTTTTGAAAAGATTTTTATCTTGTTACCCCAAAACTTCTATTGTTTACATAAGTACACACACTTTTTTTATTATTATTATCAAGAAATTGTCCTAGTATTACAGTTCATTAAAAAGTAAGTAATTTCACGAAATTAAAAAAAAACGGAGCTGTTAAATAATATTTTAAAACCGAATTAATTGACTGTCAGCATTTGATGCGTGAAGGTAACATAAGACTTTTGCATAATATACTAGATGATATTCAGTTAACAGAAACAGAGTTAATTAACGCTGAGTTAAAGTGACAGCCCTAAAAGCTTCATCAGCCACTTGAACGATCGAAAGGTACGACGTCGCGCCGGTATCAGGAAGGAATGTACAGCGGGTGACACGAACAGTTCCTGTCCCACTCCCGCACAACGCGCTTCGCTTAGCTAAATTTGTGCGCCATCCCACTCATACACACCAACATTTTCAATACTTACCTGCGTGAAATGATATACATCTGTTTAGTAGTGAAGTCTCCCTTACGCTCGAACGCGGTAATGCATTGTTGATATTGCCGTCCCTCTCGAACGTCTCACGGACAGGGGGTAGACGTTGTCCGTACGCGGCTGCGTTTGTGTTCGTTTATTTAGTGAACTTGGAAGCTCGCTTTCGTGTTTGTGAATAGGGTGTCGGGTAAGGTTGTGTGTGTGAATTGTAGAGGCGCGACATAGCTTTGCCGTCTCCATGACTTAAAAGTTTTGTATGGAATGAAAGCACCTAGTTAGTTCTGCGCCGGCCGGCACACGCGACGGATGTGTGAGCTGTGCTCGTTTCAACTTTCTTCGAGTCTGCGATCATAAAATATATTGACTCCTATTTTGTAAAATTAAAGTTATTTATGCTATCAGTGTTTCGGTTATAATATCGAAATCAAAGTGACAGTTTACATGAGGTAGTGTTTATTTTTTGTGAATCTTCAACGAGTTTGGTTCAACGGACTGAGGTTGGTCGTTACACCATGCCAGTGTACAGAATGTTTCCAACCAAAACTCCGACATATTTTAGATTTGAATCAACTTTAAACTCTACTGCGTGTCGGCTAAAAATGCCTAGACTCTTGGATTTTGCATCAAAAGCCGTTTGATTTATATTTTGTTTAAAATATGATATCATAAAGATGGGTATAATAATAAAATCAAGAAGTCTAACAAATTACTAGTAAAAATAACTACAAACATAAGTTGCAGTTGTCTCTTTTCATCGATGTTATTCTCTAATACAGTGCTTTAAATATACCAAAAGGATTTATCACAGTTTGTATAAACTTAAAATGTACAAATAAACAATGAATTTAACATTAATTTAGCCAATACGTGATAACGGTTTATAATAGATGATTAGGGATATATGGTAAAGTTTGATTTATGTGATGTTACATTTAGCGTTGAAAGATCGATTTAAACTAACCCAAATACTCATTAGGAGTTGAATAACCCATACCAAAAATAGATCTAACAGAGGAACACTCAACGGGCCCCTTCAAAAATCTATTACGGCAAAAAGTCGACTACCTGCTAAGGTAAACGAATTCTGCGAAATAGCATTTTAAACAGCAAAAAAAATTGAGTTTGCTATAAAAGAAATATTATGTTATTCTTTGAAAACAGTTATTAAATTAAGATAAAGCTTATGTGTTAAGTATTATTTATTTTATAAAACGCGACTATCATATACTAACAAATTAAAATAATATTTTTTATATAAGAGCTATCTATCATAGCGATACAGATTTCAGCATCTTTGTTATTTTTAATTAATGTTAAATTTCCATTTTTAATTATTACTAACTAGGTTTAGAATATTGTAAATAATTTATTATCTTTATTGTGACTATGGATTTACGCGCAATGTACTGTATTACATTTTGGTGTAGTAACTAAGTAACGGCCAATATGACTACAAAAAGAAACAATATGATCTCATCCACTAATAATATTTATTATTTAAATAGATAGCTAATTAATCAGATACTTTAATAGTTTATTTCTGAATAAACATATAATAATAATAGCCCTTAATTCATATACATTGATTTCAATATTCTTTTTTGGCTCACTGTCTGATGTTTCCTTAATCTGGTCTATCCACCTTCTTAGTTGTCTCCCTCTTTTTTGTTTGCTGTACCTTCAGCACTAGTTTAGGACTTATTTACTCCACTCTTCTGTTCCTCTTGCCATGTGCCAGAAAAACAGAAACAATAAATAAAATGAAAATCTTATTTTGTCTAAATTACTACCTGAATACTTACTATTCCAAAATCCTTACCAACATGTGTATACTCGAAAGCGTCCTTATACCGAAAACAATAAATAAACTACAATAAAATAACTAACTCAATATTACTGGTTACTTAACTGATACAATAACAACTACACATAAGCTTGTCTTGTTACATTGGCTACCCTAATCCTAAACAGAATTTGTTATATTGTTATACCTACGTCCAAAACAATTGATATCTCTATTTGTATCAATAATAGGAAGACAGACGGTTTTGTACGTGGGTTGAATGTAGTACTAGCTACCCTAAGTAACGCGGGACTAGCATTTATTGATAATGTTTCCTATAAAAGATTTCGCTTCTCTTTGTTCAACGTTGAAGTACCCAGTTTTGGTGCCCTATAGAGTATATAATTTCGAGTCTTTATAACCTGCATTAGTTAAATGTATTCAATTTGAATACTCACAATACATTTTCATTATGTGTAGAACAAATTGAAACATTCATATTTTATCTCCCATTAAAATATACTAGCATTTATAAACACTCAAATAAACAAGCTAGTACGCTTGTGAATGCTTTGCAGTAATTAATTGTTTAAAATATACAACTGAAGAATTTAATAATGTATACATTATAATAATGTCTGTTGTTGCTTTGAATCTGCTAGAATTTCTTGAGGTTGCGGTTAGGGATCCAATAGCTCCGTTTGTAACATTTAATTGATTTTGAGCTTCAGAAACTAATTAGACTTTGAGGTTTATGTAACCGAACAGTATTAATAACTTACCATATCTTAGTCTTCACCCCAATCTCCGCTGATCTAATGTTATGGTTAGCGGATGAATCTAATTACAGCGAAAAGATGTTATATTCTACTAGCTAACGATATTATTGGGTAGTTAAACTATATCATTTATCACTATCAATATTCTTCATTTTAATAACATTTAAAGTAGGAGTAATATAACAATCAATATTTACTCCACCTCTTTCCCTAAAATATTCTAAAGTTAAAGTAATTTAGGTAATTAATTGGCTTTATAAAAGATTAATAAAAGTTACCGATAAAGATTTATCTCATTTAAGCAGATTCGGATTCGAAAGGTTAATCGCAAATTCGTTAATGTTATTTCAGGCGCGACGCTATTGAAAAACTATTTATTAACGGTGACTACACGGTGTTATTCTGTTTTGGTCTGAGGACTATCAGTATCTACAATATTTATTCAGGTCTTAGTAAGGAGCTTACGATTCCCTCTACGGTATTGTATTAATAATTCAAAACGTATATCCGACCCGCACAGTATCTCTTCTGCCCAGGCAATTAACTTGTCTGGATATATTTACAGAATCATAAAAGTGCACTGAATAACCTTGCCGATTGGATTTCTATAGAGCGATCAGTATTTGCTTCATGGAAAGTGCTTCCAATTTAAATTGTTGTGTCGATCATTCAATCGTAAAGTATGAAATCGCTTCCTTAGATGTAGTCCCTCTCGCTAAACTGAGATGTTTCGGCCGATATTTTTATTCGGTTTAATGATGTGATATGGATACGAGTCGGGAAGGAAACATCGAGTATTGTGTTACGGGCTCAGTGGTCTTTATCGACGCAAAATTTCATTATAATCGTACCCCTATTCCACCTACCATTCATTTGGAACACCTTAGCACAATTGGAAGGGCTGCTTCAATGGGCTGTCGGATGAAATTTCTTAACATTCTTCGGCCATAATGAGAAGGATGTCGTCCAATGGACAGCAGTAACGGTGTAATTATGGAATAAAATGAGATTGACAGATATGAAAGGAGATTAAAATCCGTTTAATGAACTCGTATAAAGTAATGCGCACGGAGCGCTTTGAATTTCTGCGATGAAATTATTTTGAATTTTCGTTGGAACTTTTTATTTTATTAACGCTCTGGTCGCTGGATGGTTTCATAAGCTGAATTTCAAGGCAATGTAATTAGGGATTCACTCAAATAATTTTGAATGTTAATCTAAAGTAAGGCGAAGAACCGCAACTATTTACTAATTCTTCGCCTATATAAAAATCCATAGTTTAACAGATATTAGCGTTAAAACATTTACAATCAAATGTTCTATTACTACTCCTATCAGAATTTCTTAATTTTCAAAGTTTATTTGTGGCTTCAGAGTCAATTTGTTTCCTTACAGTTAATATAATAAATTTTTATTTACTATTAATAGCACATATCACGAGGCGGCCTGAACTTTCATGTGATCCTTGTAAAATTTGAATGAAAATTAAACACAAAATCAGTGAAGCAAAAAATCTTATACCAGTATAATATGAAGTGGTCTGTTGGGAATCAGTAATGAAGACATCATTATGGAACCGGTTTCAATACTGAGAATCACCGGACAGGATGTGCGCGAGGCTTTTTGAGTCAAACTTTTTGTTAGTTAATTTTTGAGTTAATAATTCCGGTACTGTACTTTGGATAGGCTTTTATAAATCAAATTATTTAATTATTATTTATAATGTTGTTGCAGTTGCCCAATTATATTTATTATGAATAGTTGAACCATTGTGTTGCATTAATATCCGTTGTATTATCAAAATAAGATAATGTTATTTATAAAAACTGTTTGCGTAAACTTCCTGTACGGTCCAATGCACACAGCCTGCCCTTGGTTGACATATGCTCTTGGTTTTTTTACAACTCTAAACGATGGATACACGAAACAATTATTGTTTTGTCGGGAATCGCACTGAGATCTATTCTATTACTACAGCTTCGCGACTGTAAATTCAATAAGAAAAAGGTATTTATTTCATAAGTAGTAAATGACAAATATATTATAATTAGAAAAACGAATAATGTTCAGGTTATATTAAAGCAGTGTAGTAACATTTTCAACTCCCATTAGACGTCACGTGAATTTGATCCCAAAGGATATAAACAAAATGAAAAATCCGCCCTCGAAATCAATGATTCGTTGGGGAGATTCAAATCATTAAATCATTCATGAAGTTGAAAACCATTAATCATTGAATGTAGTTAGCTATAAAAATATCTCTGATATGATATTTATTCTTAGTAAAGATGAACATTTAAATTAAAACTTAGCGTTATAAAGATATTATCTTGCTTACTGGGAATTGTAATGCGAATCATATCGTATAGTATACTGATATATATACTGATAGTCAGTGAGTTTCTCAGATTTTATCGTTTCGTGATATTAGGTTCCTCGGTTCCCGTGGATATTAAAATTTAAGGAAATATTTTAATATCCACGTTTAAAATACAAGAAATAGTAAAGTATTTTTTTATACATAGAATATTGGATTCAGTTTTTTTTTAAATCTGGAATTTCAAATCACGCTTGTTTGATTTTATGTTGCCAGTAACTTCTATTATATTTGTGGTATTTTCTTAGCTAATGATTCAAAATGTTCAAATTTAGAATATTGTATTCTGTTTTTTTTTTCA